ACATCTGTTCGCTCATCTGGATCATCGTCGTGAACATAAACTTAATATCTTCATCTTTCAGAAATAATTTGCAAGGCTAAAAGAATAAAATGCACATTTTTCATCGTCCAGTGATGTCGTCTTAGTAAAAAAGACGTCCCGTAGTCTTACCTTTGCGAAATAACCATAGCCTCTGATGGCAATTGAAATGTCTCTCGTGATGCTGTCATTGGAATTGATGACCCTTTGAAATTCTTTGATAAAATACTAATAAAATATAACGGTTACAAATACACTACAACCATTATATTGGGATTGGGATTAGTTTACTTAGGGAAGAAAGCTTGGAATCAGTCATGAAATAATGCATAAAATTCTATTTTCATATTTTAAATTATCTTTTATACCTTAAATATTTCCCGATCATGAACGGTAACCTCACTTCCTCGACTGACAAGACATTCTGCAACCTTTCAAAAAGAGATGCATACTATGTAAATACCCGCCAATCCGGGCAGCATGTCAAACTCTTTCTCACATACTTGCTTTAAGAAAGCTTCCAAGGCGGCAAAAGCGTTTGCTCGAGTCTCCTTGTTATTTCGCTTGCACCAAGACACCAACGTCTCATATACGGCCTGGTAATAAAACATAGTAAAAAACACCATAAAATGAAAATGGCTAAATCCAATTCTACTGCTTTTTAGAAGTGGCTCATCAGTTACACTTAGGAACACACGTAAAAATCTCGCAACTTGTCAACAAGATTGGAACAACTTGTAACCAGTCTGTTGAGCTCAGCAATCTTGTAGCAAGTTGTCAACAAGCTTTTGAGAACTTTGCATCAAGCTGGGAGCAAGCAGTGAGAATACATCCTATTCACAAGTTGTTGGATGTTTGTTACAACTTGTGCGTATTTACGTCGAACAAGGACTCACGTGCTCGTTTGGATACCAAGAGAAATTTAAACCTAGAAAAATTGAATAATCGTCACTTACTTCATAATCTCTCGTCAAATATTCCTTATATTGTGCAGCATGTCTGGCCAGAAAGTTCAGTCCAGCTAGAAAATAAATTTGATAATAAAATGACTATACCCGTTACTATTTATTATCCCTTGAACTGTCTTTGAAATGTAGGTCGTGCCAATCAAATGAACGAGCTTTCATTGGTGGGGATGCAACTGCCTGAAAAATATAAGGAGAATTTCGACGTTTCGAGCGAAGGCCCTTCGTTTGGACTCACTAGTGACTTTTGACAGTAGTTACTTTTGACTAGTAACTCCATACGAAGGGCTTCGCTCGAAACGTCGAAATTCTCCTTATATTTTTCAGGTAGTTGCATCCCTACCAACGAAAGCTTGTTCATTTATACCCGTTATTAACGGCGATCAAAAATTACCCCAAAAGGCATACAAGCACAGATATAAAAATAAATATCTTTCAAAACATTCGCTAACTTGCTCACCACGTGGTACTTCGTATCTTGAATACTCGACCTTTAGAGAAAAAGGTTTTTAAATTAAACATAGAAAGAAAGCAAGAAAGAAAATAAAAATAACTTATCGCGCAAGATTTGAAGAGTGCATATATATATAGTGTGATATAAATTTAAGAACCATCTTACACTTGCATCAATCGCTCTCCGCACATAAGTATAAATATCCTTGGCGTACTGTGAACCTACAAAAATTCAAGAAGATGTAACCTGACAATGCGTTCGCGTTCCAATAGACATTTTCCATTATAGACTATTTTTTATCTTGGCAAAAAAGTATATTCCCCGAAAGAGCATACTAAAATTAGTAAAATTGCAAAGTTTGGTTGCGAAATGTTGTAAAAAATGCGGAAAATATATAGCCTTGTTCGCAAATTTTGTATGCTTTTGTATTGCGTGCGGAAATTGCTACCTGCACATTTGGGCCGAAAATGGTAGCAATTTCCGCACGCAGTACAAAAGTATACAAAATCTGCAAACTTTGCAAGGCTATATTTTCCTCATTTTACAACACTTCGCAACCAAACTTTGCAATTTGACTGTTTTTAGCATGCTCTTTCTAGCTATAATGATTTACTTGCATCTCCTTGCCTAGTTTTAAAATTAGTCTATAATAGGAACTGTCTATTACGTTCCACAATACGTTTCAAACATGTTTCAAAGATGTTCTAGAAGTCTATTTTCCACTATAAAAAATTTTCCGCACAAAGAAAATTTTGTAAAATATGATCGGTCAACACAAATTTTCCGTCGGGAACAAAATTTGAAGTTGAGAATTTTCAACTTTTAACAATGATATTTCCGGAAAATTTTCTGTCCGTGGAAATTTTTCTTAGAAGAAGATGTACACTGTAGTACCTTCGTCAACCGCTTGAGTAAAATTAACCAGAGTAGATCCCAGTCCTCTAAGACATCCCGCAATAACAGGCATGTCAGGTTTGCTTGGCTTCTTCATCTGAAGTGAACAGGATTAGTTATTTTAGGCAGGGATGGACCTAGCATAATCTGGTGGGGTGTTCTGCCGGCTCTAGTGTCGAGTGACTGGAGTTGTGTCGGTCATGTGTGCAGCCCCGCCTATCAACATAAAGCAGTATGACAATTTGGCAAAACAACCTCCATGCGCGGTACAAGTGACACACAGAGTTACAGAGTACTGAGGGAAAGGGAGAAGTTAATACTAGTTATTAGTTAAGCTGATAGTCTAGTCACGGTCACAATCACTAAATCACATAAATATGAAATATCTAAGTGACTAAGTATCTAACCTTATGTTCAAACGACTGCAGGCAGCAAAGCACTAGTCGTCGCTAGTCTTGCTTGACTAATATTGTATTTGAATTTTAATTGTTGTTCACAGTTCGCTTATCATCATCTTATCACTCAAATTGCTGTATCTCATTTTGTCTCTAATATTTTTTTGCTTTATCATGAAAAATAGCACCCCCCCCTGGCCAGAGCTAGGGGGAGTGCGCACCCCCCACCGTAAATCCATCCCCGATTTGCGGTCATTTATAAGTTAAGTCGCCCGGGCGGTATTTTGAAATACTTGAATCATGTTTTCTGAGTGGGAGATGTTTGCTATCATCTTCATCTACAGAGCATATGGTCACTCTCCTCCGCAGAGCCTTACGAATGTTTAGTAAAATTACGTAATATTACTTGGGAAACAAATTACGTAATTGTTAGTCAAAACGCGCTAGACCCTCCAGTGAACTATGCATGGTCTTAGCTAGGATTTTAGATCTTGGGCGTGTTTCTAATGACCAGGGTGTACACATGTGAATTACCTTGAATAGCAAAATCACGGTTCTAGTTATGCTCGCCAACAACAATGCCTGTGGTTGTTCTACGCTTTGCAACCAAATACAAGGCGAACATACGCTCATATTTCAGCAACTCTTGGGGGTATTCAAAAACCATTTTAACACCATACAGTTCCCATTATCCATCAAAATATTAAAATATCACAGATCACTTTTGCCAATTCAACAACAACAGTAGATTTTACAAACTTTTTTACGACGTAAATAGGAAGAAATTCTGTCTGTTCTAAGTAGCACCACCTTATTTTATGAACCTACACGGCCTTATATGAAAAGTGAAGCCGCGTTCATCTTATATAGCCGTGTTTTCCCACTTTTGGCCGCGATAACACGGCCAACACGGCCCTCTAGCTAAGACCCTGGAACTATGTCCCTCCCTTGGAAGTCCCTTCTTTCTAAAATATAAGCAAAAAAGGGAAGAATAACCTAGTTAAGTAAGAAGAGTGTTTTAGTATTTCCAGACTAGACCTTTGTCTTGTGGATGAAGAATCACGAAGTTGTGTCCAACAATTAGCCCCCAGAGGCTCAAAATACAAAAATGTTCTTGGAGTGAGCCCCCAGCCCCACCTACAAATTCGTAGTTTTTCAGTTCACCACCTAGTCAGGTCTCTTTTTCTTGATGGCCCCCTCCACTGACGAATTCTTAAAAGAGGCTCAGGTATAAATGACAGGGGTGAGTTTTATTTGGGGGAAGGATCATACTTCAGCCATATAAAAGTAACTCCCTGTCATTTATACCTGAGCCTCTTTTAAGAATTAGAACGCATAAAATAATTAGTCTGTGATGTTTAGTAAATTTACACAGTATTTCCTAAATTTATACAGATTGTATTTCATCTCTATCAACATATACTAACTTACTATTAAGTGGATTATATGGTATATAAATTGAACAAATTCTAATCTACATAATTACCATATTGACATACTAATTGTGGTACTTGAATTATTTAAATTAATATGAATGTTTTTAAACAGTTATGTCCTAACAGTTCCATTGAATATTCTAACAGATTGGTTTCAAAACTGCAGTTGGTGCACTTCGTTTTCTCGTCATTGGCGACAGTTCTCTCCATACATTGGTTCTTGAATCTAAATACTCTACTGAATTGAGACATGTTTTACTTTCATAATCATACCCGCCCATGACTATAACAACATTACCAGTGGTAACTGCAGCACATAATGCTCTTTTATGATTAAGGCAAGGTAACATTTTAATTTTTCCTGTTTTCACATCATACATTACTACACTGTTTAATGTTTGAACTTTCTCATTAACACCTCCAATCAAAATTACATTACCTTCATAACTAACAGTAGCCATACTAGCAATAGGAAATGGCAGTGGTGGTAAGGTTTTACATTCATTATTGTTCAGGTCATATACGTACACAGTGTTTTTAGCGTCTTTGTAGTTGTTTGATGTCATTCCTCCAGCCACCATCACCTGGTTGTCCACGATCTCACAACCATGAAGACATCTTGGCACTGGGATCTGGGTCAATAATTTCGAATTATGTGGCGGATCTAGACTGATTTCATAAATCCCATCTGAAACATTGTCACCGTCACTAAGTCCACCAGTTAAAATCGCACTGTTCTCGTGACAAACCATTTTGTGTCCACGACACTTCAATGGCATCTTGACAGGAGACTCTACCCATTCTAAATTTCCCTTGTCAACATTGAAACTTTCAACACTGTCAGTGCTCTTGGTCCCAGTCCATCCGCCACTGACATATATTTCACGACCATGGACAAATGCTGAAGGGCTTGATCTTACCTCCTTCATTGCTGGTTCCAATGTCCAGGAATTCTCTGGCCAGCTGTATGACTCTACGGAATTAAGACTAGTCTTGCCATCAGTCCCTCCACAAACGAAAATCTTCTGTTTACCAGTGAACCATTCACTTCTCTCAGTTGCTTCTTTTGTAATGCATGCCATTTCCTCTTGAGTCAGCTTCACTTGCTTTACTTCATCCTTGACGTCCCTCACATCATTCTGAAATTCCCTCATATTATTCTGAACAACGTTCAATCTTCTCGCTAAATCGTCCATTTCTTTTCGCATGAAGCACGGGTGTACACGACTTGACTTCCATATTACTTGTTCTCCACACTCGTCGCAAACGATCTTACGAAACTGACACTGTTCACGTTCGTGTCGTTCTTTCTCGTGTAGGTTCATGACTTCTGCACAATCAGCGTTTGTGCAACACGTTGGTGAATAACCACAGCTGTTGGCATGTCGATCAAGAAATTCAAGCCTGGTCAACTCTGGGCAGCCACGGTTTTCGTGATCACAACGAATCATGAGATTCTGCAAGAAATCCGTCAAAATTCTCGGTGGTTTGGTCAAAGATTCTTCCGTCAGAGGGTGTTGACACATCGGGCAAGTTTCAGCGTTTTCGCGCAAACACTTTCGAATACACGAGCCGCAGAAGTAATGCTCATTCGGGCATTGTACTGGATCTTTTAAGACCTTGAGACAAATCGAGCACTGTAATTTAATGTCTACTTTGTCTTTAAATCTCTCCTCTTCATAGCCACCAAAGGAATCTCTCCTCGCCATTTCTCATCCAAGTAAACTGAGGAAAACGTTTGATATGTTTTTTATATCGTTGTTAGAAAGACAGATTGTACTTGTGGCTTGTCTCGTTGCTGCTCGTAATGAAAAACAATACTCTGGTGATGTGTCGTTATATCATTGGCTTTCTACGAATACTAACTACGTCACAATGTCGCATTATGAATAAACTGCGTCATTGCGCCGCTGAAACCCTAAATATAAATTGCGAAAGAACAAATTGTATTTAAGGTAAGCAGTGCAAAACTGGTTTAAACATAGCCAAACATGCTTGACAAACGACTACCAAACCGACGTTGAATAAGACAAGATAAATAGATAATTGACAAAAAAAAATAATTGAGAAGGCAAGGCAAAATGCCGACACAGAGCAACACTAGAATCCTGGAATACGGCAATCAACTTAAATTCTGGCAATAATTGTAAACATTTATCAGATAAATAACGTCTCCAAATTATTATATACGTCTCCAAATGATTATATATAATCTTGGTCGCGCATCTAGCATTTTTAATCGCGGTGGTGTTATGTTACCTATGTTCGCGGCATTTCACCAAACTAAATTACTATTTCACTCAGTGTGTCGAAATGTGAAAAAGACGGAAGCTTTGCTTACAACGACACAAGTAGATGCATTATAACGTCTGTAAAAGAGATAAAGCCTCTTGAAAGGGGAGAGATTGTGTTTCGAATAATCTTGTAACAAAATAAAGATCAATAAACCATGTCGAAATCAGTGCATAAATAGTCTACATACAGTACAGTACATATTATTTACCCTCGGATAATTGATGAGGCAATGCATGCTAACTATAGTTGGTCTTACATTACGTATACAAGTGAAGTTAGCAGTAGTATTTTGCTAACTCTTAATTTAGAATGACAATTTTGTTAAGTTGTTAACTTTTCTAGGGTTTTTACCACCATCCCTCACGGTAAACACATTTCTGAGATATTGTGTTGCAAAATTATTCATAAACTTAAAATATAAGAATCATCATGTTTTGAATGCGGTGCCGTCAGATAAATTTTCGCTTTTAGAGTGAAGCTCGGCTATGACATTAAATATTTAATTAAATATGTAAATTAAGGTTCTCAATTTGTGTAATATGTACCTCAGCTTTAAGAACCCCAACATAGATCTGCACCAGCCTATCAGCTCGTGTTACCATGATCTCTGGGAAGAATTCAGCCAATGTTCCAAGCAAGGAGTAGATGCCATATTTCACTGAAAACAGTGGAATGAAACACAGCTTGAAAGTGAAGCATACAATTTCATAGAATATTCTGTGTTTGAAGGTGAAACCTAACAATTGTAGCCTTGACCATAAATATTTTATTCACATAATTTCAAAGATTTCCCACTATTGGATTAAACAATTTTACAGCAGATATTTTACTTAACCCTTTAATCCTAATGTACTTTATTATTTATTCTGTTTAATTAATGCCAGACAATTTTACTTGTCAAGGAAACAGTGCTATGTTACAGGTCTGCAAACAAGTTGTTACAAATCTGTTCACAAGCTGTCAACAAGTTGTGTTCGCACTGCTTGTTCCCAGTTGTTGTAACAAGTTTGGAACAAGCTGTTAACAACTTGTAACAAGCTTGATGGCATTATCAGACTTGTTACAAGGATGTTCTAACAAGTCTGATACAGTCATGATATAACAAGAATGTTACAAGGTTGACAACACAAGGTTGTAACAATATTGTTATATCATGACTGTATCTGACTTGTTGGAACAACCTTGCAACAAGTCTGATAATAAAAAAAGCTTTGCTTTGCTTTGAAAGCTTTGCAGTAATAAATTTACGTGGTGTTTCCACAAACAAAAACAATCATATTTTATCGCCATGCAAACATTCAAAGAACTTAAGTCTGATAATATCAACAAAGTTGTTACAAGTTGTTTAACAGCTTGTTCCAACTTTGTTGACAACTTGGGACAAGCAGTGTGAACACAACTTGTTGACGGCTTGTTGGCAGACTCGCTACAAGATGTGCGATTTTTGCATGTGTAGTACTCATCAGGTTCATCAAACTATCTGCCCACGTGTCTAGTTAACTCAGTAAGTTACATTGTGCCCTAATGCACCCTACTTTATTATTTTACTTGGCAAGGGAAGAGTGCTGGCATTCAATGGGTTTAGGAATCTAATTCAATATCTTATGTAATATTTCAAATCCGACTATGAGAACTGGACTAGAATTCATGTCAAGTCCGTGCAATTTGATCAAGTCCGAGGCAAAGCCAAGGACTGGATCAAAATGGGAGGACTTGAAATCTAGTCCAGTCTGAATTGAAGGATTTGAAATGACATCTCATACGAATAAATCACTACTTAAAGTGAAGTGAATTAATTTTGATCCAGTCCTACAACTGGATTAATCAATATACAATACTTCAGTAATATCATGTGAGCAAAATAAAGCAATATGGTTGGCTAATTTACTCATGAATTATTAATGAGTTTGAGATGTATGTACCTGTTGATGTATGTTTTGTTGGCTGACAACATGCTGAAAAATATCTTCAATTTTTTAAGGAAAATGCAAACAGAAATTACAGTACAGTACAGTACAGTACACAGGGTTAAATTCAGAAAAAGGCTACATATACCAGATAGTACACTGAAACTTATAATATTAAACTGCTTAAAAAGGATACTTTTCTACAATATTTTCAACATTGAGTTTTTCAACAATTGTGGCATCAAACTTCAATTCAAGCAACTGTTAAACAAATAAAAGTATTGTTTTTTAAATGATAAATTGTAAAACAATAATATAAACAAGAAACTATATAACATATAACCAACCATGGGTCGATAATTGTTAGCTCTAATTTGGACATTTCTCTATTACAAAGACCTCTCAAATATGGACAACTCCCTAATACAAACACCTCTCTCATATAAATACCCCCTAATATGAACACCTCTCCAATACAGACACATCTCTCTAATACAAACACCTCTCAAATACAGACACACATATCTAATTAGATACCTCTCTAATACAGACACATCTCTCTAATACAGACACACCTCTAATACAGGTACCTCTAATATGAACACACCTCTAAATACGGACACACCTCTCTAATATAGACACACCTCTCTAATATAGACACATCTATCTAATGCAGACACATCTCTCTAATGCAGACACACCACTCTAATGCAGACAAACCTCTCTAATACAGACAACTCTCTGATATGGACACAACTCTGATACAGACACACCTCTCCAATATACACACACACACACCTCTCTAATAAAGAAACCTCTCCAATATAGATACCTCTCTAATAGGGACACCCCTCTAATACAGGCACACCCCTCTAATATAGGCACACCCCTCTAATACAGACACACCTCTCTAATACAGGCGCACCTCTCTAATACAGGCACACATCTCTAATACATGTATGAACTCTACATACTTGAAGTAATACTTGGAATGTCTCATTCTTTACTCTGCTATTCTTATCGCTGGAGAACAATTTCAAACATATATCCTAAATAAATTTTGCATAAACAGTAGTCATTATAAATGAAATATTTTCTCCCAATTAACAAAAGAATGATCTATCTTTGACCAACAGCAGCAAACCAATACAAAACCTACCTTTATATCAGTTGCATATGGTGAAATCCTTGTTTTTACTTTTGCAATGTATTCAGCAAGGAATGATAGAATGATTTCTTTGCATTTTGCAAACTATTTTAAAAAATTCAACTTACAAATAAAGGTCTGTATATTTTTATAACACAATACAGGATTGGTACTGTACATGTCAGGAAGAGTCAAATTCAAGGGCTTTAAGTTCAAGGACATTCAAGGCCATATATCGGCAAATTCACAAACTAAATACTGAACAGAAGACGTTAGAAATCAGTAAAATGTGACATTGAATTGTTCAAAACACAACTTTAATGAGTTTCAAAGAGCTTTGTCAGATATGAACATGCAAAATGTCTGTTTTGAATGTCAAACAGAAAATATCCAAAAACTAAAGCAAGAAAAATGTTAGCAATTCAAGTACAGTACAGCCCTAATGAAAGTTAACATCGTGTAACGAGCGAGTTGCAAGTTCGAGCGAAAGGCTATCGAGCGCGATTTGACCCCTAACGAGAAATCTGCGAGTTGCGAGTACGCGAGCGTGAAGCGAGCGAGTGTTCTCAAAAATTTTTAATATCGAGCGAGTGTTCTCAAAGACTTTAATTAGATATCGAGCGAGGGTTCTCGAAAATTGTTTGTATCGTGCGAAATCGAGCGAGAGTTTGACCAACATGTGGCGAAATATAGGATAATTGCTGTTTCCTTGCATGGAAAACGTCACGTATTTTGACATATATTTACCAGTTCCCTAAAAATATAACTATGATAGGGTGATAGCGGTTATATTATTTTGTTACTCATCTTTACAAAACCTCAAGATAAACAAAATTCCCTGGTTAAGTCAGCGTCTGTTTATTCGAAGTGTTACATGTTAGTGTAGGTAAAAAACACTCTCTTTCTATTATATACTTTATTAGAATTAGCGGCTCAACATACTCGTTATCGTTAGAAATAAACTATTTCCAAAATTTTACGGTGTGACTCATATACACCAAAACAATCTATATAATTATAGCCTTAGGCTATAAATAATGTTAGTTCGCTTCGATTGATTGCATTTAGAAACCGATAGCTATATTCATGCACAATCTTTACAACCACAATAACAGGAACTCCACCGACAACTTATTGTCTCGTATGGATTATCGAAAACAAAAGAGCGTTACAGATGATGTCAGTGAAAAACATGCTGTCTGATTTATAATTATACTGAGATCTGAAGCGTCTTACTAGGCTCATTACTGTTTTGATCTCTGTCGGTGAGCCTGCTCTGAGAGATATTATAGAAATAGAAATAAGAACGCGATGTCTTCAAGAAACTTGACGAAGTTTTACTTTTACGCTGATAAGACACTGTTAGTGGTGTCGCGTGAGAAGTTACTGAACGCAAATAAAGTAGTCATATCATCGCGGTCAAAGGAAGTGACGTCTAAGCGATACTGCATTAAAAGGCATGGAAAGCGAAGTTGATATCTTTTGGAGGTAAAATAATACTTATTTTTGTAGATTGTATTTCGTCTTTATTTCAAAATATTGATTGTGGATTTTAATGTTTCTGGATTTTAATGTTGTCCTTAAAGATCAGTCAAGAATTGACTCTGTATTGTTAATTTCAGTTTACCCCGTGTTTTCGCACGGACTTGCGAAGCAACGTTACTTCTACCAGTAGTTGCAGATTATTTACGTATGCGAAAAATTTTACACGCAGTATAGCACTGCGAGAATTCTCGTGAATCTTTGCATCGAGATTTCTCGCAAAATTCTTGTGTATCGAGAAGCCTATCGAGTGAGCGAGAATTTTTATCGAGTGGGTTTCGAGATCTCGATACTCAAAACATTTTCCTCGATAGCATCGAGCGAGAATGGTTAACTTTCATTAGGGCTGTACTGTACTTTTACACAAATTCAAGGACATTCCAGACCTTCAATTTTTGTTTTCAAATTCAAGCACATTTCAAGGACTTTCAAGTTTTGTACAAATCCTATAAATATACAATACAATGTACTGTCAAAGTAGGAACAGTCAAATACCTCATCAACCAATACGACTGCTTTGGCAAAGGTTAGTATGCCACCATCTTGATTGAAAAGCAGGGATGAGCAGTATGCTAGATAGGAAAGTGATTATAGTTTAACCCATCAAGTACCAGTACTCTCCCCTTGGCAAGTAATATCATCTGGAGTTGACTTTACAGGAATTCATTGTGGGTGATGTTCATAAACTTGGTATCTGACAGTGTGATTAACTCATTAAGCTGCAACACACCCAAATGCATCAGACTTTATATTTTACTCTGTCTCAGACAAAGGTATGAAAAAGTTATTAAACATCCAAGGATCGAAATATCAAAATAAGTTTGGGCATTTATATTTTGCACGTTTGCAGCTAATTGGAGGGTATATATTCCTGTCTTCCTATTAAAACAAACACAGTTAAATGTTTTAGTAAAGAAATTTTAGCTACTTTACATATATTGAGAAAAGCTATGTCATATTTAAGCTAGAATTTGACAATTAAAGTCTAAAATCATTCGAACGCGCCAACTCACCAATTTGAGTCTCAGTGATATTTTCAATGCAATATGCACGTAAATCGCTGCAGATGTCTGCTGCTTCGTTGCCTCTGTTTGACGAGCTTGGTTTCGAGCAATTATTGAGCTGGTTTAAATATCTATCGATAATTTCCGTCATTTTCTTTCAATCAGTTTAGTTTTCCACCCCTTCGTTTGAGTTTGACGGCCATGCTTGCATTTTGGCGGAGCTTTGAGCATGAGACAGGATTGACCAATCAAAGTCCAGGAATTTGTAGCCTACTGTCTGCAAGGTTCTTCTCTGAAAGGTTGATAGATAGCCTGCTCGCAGGCTAGGGCTGAGGTTCAACACTATATCTATGGTTCAACGATGGGTTCAACTCTGGACTAAAAATACAAGCAGAACCACAGGCGACCCAATCTCAGAATGAATGATCAGGTGTTGCGGGTTTTTAACGGTTTTTATAAACAAATTTATAGTCAACCAAAACTATTTAAAAAACATTCTTAAATTAGTCAAATAAATACATTTTAACAATAAAATATAGTTGACATGATCGTATAATACCTTTGCATTCTTTTAATTACTCCATGAGCTCATTTAGAGCGGTTGATGTAACATTTTCTGTGGCCTACATTGTGTGTGCTCATCTATATATATTATATATAGATGAGTTGTTAAGTTTTTCCAACAACTTGTTATCGTCCTGCAATTCGACAATTTGTCAATATGTTGTGAGCGACAATCTTGTAGCAACTTGATGAAATAACAGCATTGTTACAACTTGTTGACAAGCTTGCAACAATCTTGTGGTTACCTGCGATAGTTGCATGTCCAGGAGTAAGCTGATATGTGTCACTTACACACGCAGAAGTCTCACATCTTGAGGCAAGTCTGCCAACAAGCTGTCCGCACTGCTTGTCCCAAGTTGTCAACAAGTTTGGAACTAACTGTTAACAACTTGTAACAACCTTGTTGATATCATAAGACTTGTTGCAAGGTTGTTCCAACAAGTCCGATACAATCATGATATAACAATATTGTTACAACCTTGTGTCATCAACCTTGTAACAATCTTGATCATGACTGTAGCAGACTTGTTAGAACAACTTTGCTACAAGTCTGATAATGCCATCAAGTTGTTAACAGCTTGTTCCAAACTTGTTACAACAACTGGGAACAAGCAGTGCGAACACAACTTGTTGACAGCTTGTGAACAGATTTGTAACAACTTGTTTGCAGACCTGGAACAACTTGTGCGTTTTTATGTGTGTATACTTCAGTCGGCAATGTTAATGACAGGCGCCACGAACTTTGACCAGCGCTCTTAATGACAGGCGCCACGAACTTTGTACGAAACTTTTCGAGACGATTGTGTCTAACACAAATCACAAGATTATTAGCTTGATCATGTGTTTCATGTGTTACCGCCCCAAATAACGTATAGTGTAACATTCCACTATTCTTTGTTTGCAATCACGTGACTTTTCATCCAAATGATGGAAAATCAAACAACTTGTGGACGATTTTTCTCCGTATCAGAATGGTTGTAATAAGAAAAACTGAACGGTAATTCACTTTTTGAGTCTTAAGCTGTCTCAAACTCGATCAATATATTAAAATAGCCGGTTTTTGTTCTACCTGCCCGTCAACTGAAATCCCCAAATTACGTCATTGCAAACGAAGAATACATTACCTAAGAAAACAGTGTCCCTCTGATTGTCCAAATATACACACGTAAAAACTTATAATTGCAGCAGACTTGTAGCAATGCTGTTCCAACAACTTGTCAACAGCATGTGTTCGCACTGCTTATTCCCAGCTTGTTCACAAGTTGTCAACGGCTTGTTGACAACTTGCTACAAGGTTGTTGAGCTCAACAAACTTGTTACAAGTTGTTCCATCAGCTTGTTATCTTGTCGACAACTTGTTCGTCAATCCAACAACTTGTCAACAAGTTGTGAGTGACAACCTTGTTGCAACTTGATAAAATAACAGCATTGTTACAGCTTGTTGACAAGCTTGCTACAAACCTGTTGCGAACACATCTTGTTGACAAGTCGTGAGAATTTTGCGTAGAAATCTCACAACTTGTTGACAAGTTGACGGAACAAGCTTGTAGCAACAGGTGGGAAATTTGTCGTCGCTGACCAAAAAATTGCGGGCAGAAACAAAGCTCATTGCATTTACATTCAAAACAAAGCAGAAAGTTAGCAAGAAGCTGTTTTAGCTGACGATTTTTTTGCTTTCCATTCAACGCTTTACAAATTATTGGTCATTCTTTTAAAAGTCGATCATGAATTCTTTGTTTTGGGATGATTGTTTTGTAATCGCGTGATTGGAAGAAGTTAATATGGCGACGTGAACATGGGAGTAAATACCGTATACGTCGATCTATGGCTTGTTTAAAACCGTAATAAACGAAGAAAGACGTGATTTGAGAATGAAATGTAAGTTGAAATTAACTTTATATGCCTCAAATTTTCCATCCTATGTTTCTTAATGTAACTTCAGCGGTCTAAGTTCAAAATACAAGCTCGCGAAATTTGACAAATTTTGAAAATATGTAAAAATAGCTTGACTTTGAACTGTATTTTCTCAAAAATAGCCCGTGGCCTCAATTTCAAATATAGCTAAATGAAAAGAAAAAACTTTTCGGCGTTTGTAGGTATCAAACATATCGTCAGGAAAATAGGGGCTCACAATGTTTTAGTTCAGTCTTTGAGACCCAGTTGCTTCGCACGTGTTGTGGTCAAATTTTTGCCAAGAATCAAAGGCCGAAATGTGAACTTCCTTCATGAAAACCGCTTCGAGAAGGGTCCAGTTTGAAAATTTAGCTATTAATTTCGATTTCATGAGCATATTTTGGTTACACGTTAAATATTTTTGCACTTGATGAGATTCAAAATTTGTTGTATATTCAAGCCCGGCTTTAGTGTAATTTTGGTGATGACCGGAACAGAAATAAAGATATTTTAAAAACTGGCCGTGGCCTCACGACAAAACTTTCTAAAAATGTTCTCTGTTTCATGTACTTTTATTTGATATCTTAGGTATAAGCGTAAAAATAGGGGCTCATACAGTTTAAGAGGTTGTAAAATGCATGACTTGCCTCTATTTTCATGTAAACATTCGAAATTCTTCGACAGCAAAGTAGCAACTGTTTCAGATCGAATGCACACGGACAGCCCACCAGAAACAATGGCAGGGTACTGAAATAGAACGTCACTAAAAAATTCTGTATGATTAATTTAGATCATGTCCACTCTTTCAACATAAAACCTCTCTCCTCCGCAGAGGCTTTAGTTTTCTTAGGATGAGTATTACGATGAGATACATTTCACTACACTTTACATGGCGGATCTTGAAACACGAAAACAGTAATTTATTTTGTACAAACATTTGGCAATATTTACACGATTGTGCCTTTTTGTAAACACGCGTTGCGTGTATTCCACGCAATTGCGTGGCTCATTTTACTCGCGCATGCTCAGACAAATTTCCCACCTGTTTACTGCTGGTAAGTTAATATGTGCAGACAACAATCCACACTGGGTTGCTATAGGACTATCTTTGTGCAAATCAGACAATTTTACGATACTGCTCAATGCCTCAATTGATATTGCCAAAATAACAATAACAATAATAAACTCTCTCTGTGATTATTTATCCCTTAGAAGTACGATGTTCCATCAAGCCTACGATCAAGCTCAATCAGATTTTTTACAAACT